ACTCATCGTCCCCGCCTCCTGGCTCTCTCATCCTCCTCCAACCCCGCCCTCTTGCACTTCCCGTATCCCCCTCCGGATGTCTCCCCCCCCCCCGCCTTCCAGCTCTTCCGTTTCCTTCCGCCCTCCCCATTCCCCCGGCTCTCCCGTCTCACACGCCCAGATCTCCCTACCGGCTCTACCCTCTACTTGAGCTCTCCGTCTCCCCCCGCCTTCCGGATCTCCCATCCCCTTCCCCCGCCCTCTGGCTCTATCCCCTGCCACCCAGCTCTCCAGTTTCCCCTCCCCACCCTCTGGCTACCACCCGTGCTCCCGGTCTCCCGTCTTCCCCCGCCCTCCGACTATCCCGTCTCCACCCCTCCAGTTCTCCCGTTTTTCCCCTCCCGTCCTCCGGCTCCCCCCCCCCCCCCCCACGCTCTGACTCCCCCGCCCCACCCACCCCCGCCCGCCGTCTCCGAGCATCCGCGTACCTGCTGCAGCTGGAGGAAGCGGAAGTAGGCGCCTGCCCGCCAGGCCCAGGTGGCCGTAGACACTGCTCTGTGCCGCGCGCCACAGCTCTAGCAGCTGGTCCACGCGGCCAGGCGGCGCCACCGTCGCCAGCTGCGCGCGCACCCAGGCCGACGACGAGATCAGATCATCCTGCCGGCGGCGAACGAGTGTCGGGCTGAACTCGCACTGGTGGCAACAGGAACAGCGTCAGGGCAGGAGGTGTACGAGGGGACGTGGCGCGTGAGGGAAGGTGTGTGAGCGGAGGCAGTGTTTGAGCGGGGTCGGTGTGTAAGGGGGACGTGTGTGAAAGGGGGGTATGTGAGGGGATGTGCGTAAGCGGAGCTGTGAGGAGGCGCGGGCAGCGACATGGAATTCTACGGGGAGCGTGACAGGGAGCGTTGACGAAACTCTGGCGAGGTCAGTGTCTGGAGCATCACCCGCGACACCGCCCATGACGACGCGAGACTGGAATGCTGCACCGGAACGGGGTACTGACCGTCTCAATGCCGCCACCGGAGCGGAGTACTGACCGTCTCAATGCCGCCACCGGAGCGGAGTACTGACCGTCTCAATGCCGCCACCGGAGCGGAGTACTAACCGTCTCAATGCCGCCACCGGAGCGGAGTACTGACCGTCTCAATGCCGCCACCGGAGCGGAGTACTGACCGTCTCAATGCCGCCACCGGAACGGGGTACTGACCGTCTCAATGCCGCCACCGGAGCGGAGTACTGACCGTCTCAATGCCGCCACCGGAGCGGAGTACTGACCGTCTCAATGCCGCCACCGAAGCGGGGTACTGACCGTCTCAAACGGCCGCCACCGGAGCGGAGTACTGACCGTCTCAATGTCGCCACCGAACAAACTGGGCACAGGCTGGTCAGCTTGGCTCGGCCGAGATGGTTAGCAGACACAGCTTAAAAACAATGTGGCGCGCTGCGTAAGCTATCTGTTCCCGCATTGCCGCTGCCGTCATTAGCCGAATACGTGACAAGAGGCAGGTAACATCAAACTGCACGGCAGCGAATGGAACCCAACGCCCCGCAGCCCCCCCCCCCCCCCCCCCCCCTCCCCTTCCCATGCCGATACCGGCCGACACGGGTGGGGCCGGCGGCCGCGTGGCGCACCTCGATGTCATTGTCAGGGTCCGTTTGCACATGGCTGCGCTCCACGATGTCGGTGAGGCGGGTGACGGCCTCGTCCGGCGCGTCCGGCAGCAGCGCGGCCACGGCGGCGCGGCTGTCCACCAGCTGGTCGGCAGAACGGCACCTGACGGCAGATGGCGGGCTCACACGGCCGTCGTGGATTTAGTGCTCTGTCGGCGAAATAATCAGGAGCACCACTGGCCCCCTATTACCTCGCCCAGGCGCTGTCTCAGTGTGGCAAAAGGGCCCCCTATTACGTCGCCCAGGCGCTGTCTCAGTGTGACAAAATGTCAGCACAATAATGGCGAACGGGCACAGTCGCCAACAGCCGTCACCGCGGCTTTGTACATGCGTAACGTGTCAGAATAATATTATTGAGCATGGTATCCTGCGAATAAGTAGCATTTACGTATGGGTGTCCTGTGACAGTACGGTGTCATGGGGGCACAGTATGCAGTTCGGTACCGTTCGTGTGTACATGTTCTGTCGGCACACCCATCTCCGGCACGTACTGTGAGTCGGTGACTGCCTGCTTGCCCCAGGTGTAGCACCAGTCGGCCAGCATGTACCACGCCTTGCTGTCCTCCGGCGAGCGCTGCACGGCCGCCTCCAGCAGCCGACCGACCTAGCGAGGCGACGGAGCACCGTCAGCCCCTGGGAGAGGCCCTGACCGGTCCCAGCCCCGACCGTCTTCGGTGAGAGGTCAGGCTATCCCGGGGGAGGGCCCCAGCGGACTGGTGTCGGACTCCCCCAGCCGTCCCATGTCATCTGGCGCACGAATTGACTTGGGAGCAGTACAGACCTGACGCGCACCGGTGGCCCCTCGGCTGGCGGGGAGGAGAGGATCACTGGCCCCGGCTCCTCCACACGGCACGCCTCCCGGTCCGACGACCACACATGACGCACCGGTGGCCCCTCGGCTGACGGGGAGGGGAGAGTCGCTGGCCTCGGCTCCTCCACACGGCACGCCTCCCGGTCCGACGACCACACATGACGCACCGGTGGCCCCTCGGCTGGCGGGGAGGGGAGGGTCGCTGGCCTCGGCTCCTCTACACGGCACGCCTCCCGGTCCGACGACCCCACACGACGTTATGGCAAACTGCTGCCGCCCGCTGGCGCTGCAAGCGGGACTGGCTGGGGCGGGGGAGGGAGAACGGCCTACTGCGACTGCGACTGACACGTCACACCGACGATCCGAAGCGAGGTGAGGAATACATGTAGCCGCTTGCAGGATGTCAAACACGCGTCTTGAAGAGAGCCATGTGTGCATCAGTCGGCGTGCTCGACGAAGCTGTCAGCGACAGAGCGCCGCCCACCCATCGGTGAGCCTTACCCGCATGTCGGCGGTCGGCACCACGTGACTGTTGACCCCGCTGAGGTCACCCGGCGCCACTGCAGACAAGTACTGCTCCACCTGGGGCACAGACACGCACCGACTTGGGGAGAGCAGACAAACAGCGTACGTGGCACAACGTGCATCCCATGAGCGGGAGGTGGATCGGTGGGGGGGGGGGGGGAAGGGGGCCCAGGCAGGAGGCAACAGGGCCGCATCGGCACCACTGGGACATTGCGCCGACACCTCACACACACTGTGCTCACACTTCCCACACTGATAGCGCTCAAACACCCGTATATGCAGCCAGCGGGTTTGACATGAGGGCGTCTTTACGGCAGCAACAGAGCTGACTGACAATGCATGAGCGACTGCCGTGATTGGCCAGCGCCACGATCAGCCATCTTACTCGGTCAGCATCCAGGGCCGACGAGGCTCCACCCCCGCCCAGCCAGCGGGCCAAAAGCAGGTCGGTGCGGGATGTGACGTCACCAGAGGGTGTGGCCAGCAGCACCTCGATGGCCTCCAATGGCCGACCCAAGCTGGGGGCGGTGCGAACGGTGAGCGATAGCATCCAGCAACAGCGGCTGATGAACTACCGCCAAGCTGAGGATGTTTAAGAAAGCTAAGCGAGATAGCAAAACCGCTATTTCCATGATCTGGTATCTATAGTGGCGGCTGACCCAGCCAGCAGTACCTACAATGGACAATGGC